CTAGATCAAAGAGCGTTCACCTACCACGGACATCTAATTAGTAAGTCTTATAAATCACGCGTCATGCGCTTGTAAAATAGCAAATCACGCATAAGCTTCTGCCTGTGAGCAGAAGCTTCTTCTAATCTACGTCATAAGCTTCCGTTGTAAGCTTGAGATTTTTTTCCGAAAGGACCGGAAAGCATGCAGCAAACAGGCTATGATTTTGAAAGCTATGGCATTTTTAGCGATTCCTTCCGACAGGTCTCTAACTATTTTCAGTTAAATCAACGCAAAGTAGGAAGTTTGGATTCATAATTTTGCATTAAAATATGGACTTATGGATGAAGGCGTGATATGCCTACCTGAAAGGTACGAGATGCTTGAATTTTTTCTTTCATTTCGTGCAAAGCTCAGAATTTCCATGCAACCTTATACACAAGAAGAAGAAGGTAAACAGTTTCCCTTTTAAATACGTGACGGGTGAATTTTTTAAAAATTCGTGCGTGGGGATTAGAAACTCCCCTTAGCTAGCCTCCTGGAGGCGTGATCTTAGATACTGAAGCATTATCATAGGGTCAGAGATTGCGACATTTCTGGGAATGATAAATGTTTGAATATGACTGAGGTTCCATCAGTAAATAGGTACTCAATAACGCGTGTGGTAAAATATCGAGTGGATGCATCGGCATTTCAACTCAGAATTATCTTGAAATGAAAGGTAGGTGCAGTACTAGAGAGCAAAAGCTAGGAAACCTGCAACATTTGTAGTCGCCTTACGGCAGAGAATCGTGCCATATCTTAGGAGACTTTCTCGAATGAAGAGTAAATTCTGTTTGACATCTGCAAGAATAGACATCTTTCGCTTAAAAACGTTCTTAGTACATTTGTATTTCAATGTCCTACTTGGCTGAGCGTGCCTTGGCATGGCAGACGGCCAGATTAATCTGTAGAAAGAACACTGTTTCGAGAAGAACATTGCTCGCGTGACATTTGCGTTACGTTTAAAAGTTTATTTAGTTTAATATTTCACCTTTTCTTTTCACTTATTGATCACCTTGATTGACACTGAAATATGAGTAAGTTGATGGTTTTTAGTTAGTTTTTACACGTGTCGTGTCGGAGGCATGAATCAGGATAGCTTTCCCGTTTTTGATGATTATACAGTTTAGTTTAACTCTGGAATCCCGTCACGAAGTAAGTCAGTTGTTTTAAGTCGTTTTTGGTTTCCCTAGGCTTTGTTACATTCAATTATTCGCGTTGATTTCTGTTAGTGTAATTTCTGTAAGACCGCATGTAATTAGCGGTCAAATCTGTTCGCGTTTTAAGATTATATGATGTGCTTAGGTCTCTTAATTTTGGTTAGGTTCTGTTGTTTAGAAATCTTATTTATTTATTGTTTCAGATCGAATAAAATTCTCTTTATACGATTCGGGATTCTTTAGAGCCACGCAAGTAATTTGGTTTTCATCCGACGGACCAAACACCATTTTAAATGAAAATATCCCACCTAGTTCTCGCCTCTTTACCTAAAATATTGCCAGCTTAAGTTACCTCGGTCGACTTTTTTATTGTTCGCGGCATATCTTTCTTCAGTTTTTATTGATAAACATTAAGGACAATGTTTGATTTGGAAATATCGTAAATATCTCGAAGTTCTTCGTTTGAATTTAAGTTGTTTGCATCCCATTTGCCAAATATGGACAAAGGTTATTCTCAAGTTGTGGGTAAACTTGAAGTCTTTGATATCCTCTGAGTTATTTCCTTTACGCAAAGCAATCGTTGTACCACAGGCAGACAACCCTATGGGTTTGAGGCCTCGTGACGTTTGTTATTGATGCGCTAGCTAAACTCTTAGGCCCGGTTCAAACGTAGTGCTATCTTCGTGTCGAACTCACTTATATTAAGTTCGACTTCAGCTCGATTCCAGTACGACAGTTGATTCAAACGTCGTACTTAATAGCTGCTGATTCGTTCTAAGTCAGTGGTCTATGAAAACATCGCTTTAGGAGACTAGGGTCAAGTCAGCTGAAAGATGGCTGACATGGATTTGTCCATAGATCAACGAAAAAGGGTTCTTCTTTTACATCGAATGCTAGCAGAAAAAAGAAGAAGGATATTAACACAACATGCTTTGCTTTCATATCATGAAGAAATATGGAAACGCATTCATATGCTCCTCCTTATCTTGTGCATTTCGACCAACTCTCGAAACTCCAACAGAATGGTCGCTCGATCTTGCCGCCGTGTTATAAGAAATACTGGTTGGTGGGCAAACGTTTGGAATACATACTCACATGCAAGATTTAAGAAACTTTTTCGAGTATCCAGAGGTCTTTTTTTCTTTATTCTTGTGCGTATCTGACATGTTTTGGTAAGAGATACAGTTTGCAAGGAGCCCAATACGCTTGAACTTTCCGATAAATCCGACTCTGGACTGATTTCGAGTTGCTCAGATGATAGGCTTTCATCTTCGTACTCTGACTTCAAGCTCATCTGACATCCCTACGAGCATAAGTACTTCTCCAAGCCGTCATTTTCCAAAATCTGAAACAAATGTAAGCATGCGTTTCACGTTATCCCACTGAGAAAGTATTCGGGGCCACATTGCCATAATGCATGCATTAGGTTTCGCTTTAATTTCACTCTACATTTGCAAACGTCGAACTTAAGGTTAATTCCCACCTTCGCGGGCGTCCTTCGGGAAAATATTCGTACGCGCGCTAGTTTCACTAAATTCCTGGCAAACTATATATCAGAAGAAAGCTTAATAACTGCAGTCTACGATAAAAATATGATTTAAGCGACATTTGTTTTAGGGAAGTGATAAGGAGCCGGTAAGGCGTGAAACGACCGAAGGTTCTTCTATTGAATTTATCGGGTATCGGATGCCACAGCGCGAGCAAAATGACTGCACAGTCTTATTCACAAGGCATTAATCAGCATTAATGCTTTTTGATATTCTGATTGGTTGTCTAGATATCGGCATCTAAAGTTGGAGTACCTAAAAATATGCGAGTCGTGTTGCGTAAATGGACGCCACGGGACAAATATTTTAAATATCAAAATTTCCCGACACGGTTTCGTTTGTCATTATTCCTAAAGGGCTTTGTTGAAATTTGACGAAAATCGGTCAAATCCATATACCCTATAAATTTGCTCGAAGTGGTTGCATTCTTCCCAAAATCAAATGCGAACTCATAAAGGTTCGCAAACAACTCGCGCCACGTCCGGAGATTATCTCCCCTCCTGAAACCGCAAACCAATAGGACAGAGATCAAGCAATGACAATGGATCAAGATTTACCGCGAAAAGGAATCCGTTGCAAACAAGTTTATCTTTTATCTCGATCGCTCAAAGAGCGTTGAGGAGGACGACACAATAATGAGCAAAGTTGCCAAAAGCAAAGGAAAAATCCGCGGCAAAAATGGAAAATGTGCTGAGGAGCACGACAACGAATCGACATATAGCTTTCAAAATTACGATTCGAGGTGACTTTTAATGCTTTTGTATCACAGCTGGTACTTGCATAAAGAAAATGAACCTCGTTTTTAACATTATGTATGGCAAGTTTTGGTTTGACGGCGAATTCTTTGTTCGAAATCTGGACGCTAGCATGAAGCTCCGCCAGTACCAGTCGCTTTCACAAAGGAATTCTCTTTTCTTGACAGAATGGTACTCTTTCTTTCTTCTTTGCGCCTATTTTTTTCCCTTTTTTTTACCCAGGACTTTCTTCCACTTTTGATTTTTCCATGACCAAAGATTTTTTCATAAACAAAGAGCTTCCACGTGTGAATTTTGTAAAGTGTGCGATGTAAAAAAAATATGGATATAACATGAAAATCGAGCCCCACCATGAGCGGTTCCGAAACATTCCTCCAGGGGACTCGCCCAGGTCCGAGATTATGGCACCTTCCTGATTTATTAACTTTCATCAAAAAAAAAAAAACGTTTTTCTAAATAACTCGGTTACCTTTGAATATTTCTGGAAACGTTAGGTTGAATGTTTTTAATTCAATTTAGTCAAATAAAAGAAAAATGGTTTTTTTCGGCCTCTGAAGGTGGGAATTAACCTTAAGCAAGGTAATGGGCTCCTGCTTTAAGTCGATAACCGTGTAAGAGCCAAGCCAAAAATCAGTGCAGTTGCCCACCTCTGACCACCTAAAAAGCCTGCTCGATTTCCGACATTCGCTTATCATCCGCCGTCGACACATGATGTGGACCGAAGAGGTCGATCATAAGCCTTCGATTAACCGTATTAAAATTTAAATTAATCACTAAGGGAACTCAGATTTCACCAGACCCTCCCCACGCCAGTACGTAGTGTGTCGGTCGAAAGACGGTACAAACCAGCGTTCCCCTAAGACTATTATTTACCACTTCCGTTCCGCAACCGGAAAAAAAATATTAGCCAATTGGAACGAAGTTGTCAGTAGTAGCTGCGTTCTGATTGGATAGACTAGTAGGTCCACGTCATGAGTCTACGGCAGTTAGGCTTTTGAGGTGGTTAGAGGTAGGCAATTGCACTGATTTTCGGCTTCGCTTTTACACTTTTTTCCCTTCGTCTTTTAGCATGCCCAAGGCTGGGAAGTGAGCGACATTTGGAGACGGAAGAAATTCGGCTTTTTTTTTTTTACGCTTTTTTTTACGCTTTCGGCCCAGGCGGTCCTGGAAGTTACACGCCCCGTTTTTTTTCCTTACGTTTGGAGGGGCATCAGTGCAAAGTGGGGAATTAACCAACCCAAAACCCTCTGATATCACTCGAGACAACAAAGAAAAACGAAGGTAAGTGAACTTTATTTATCTGACTGTCATTAAGCGAATTTTGGGAATGAAATGTTACGATTTGCAGTATTTATGAAAAATTTTTGGGTATCCCCGCGTTTTGGGCATCCCCCTTCCCAAAATACTATTGTTTTCGATTTTTTTATTTCTTTTTAGAGCGAAAGGGGTTTGTGATTGACGTAAGATAAAATCAGTGAAGTTTGATGCGACTACCGCCAAAATTTTTTTCTTCACAGCTCCAAATGGCTCCGTCAATCTCTAGAGAGAAGTTGGCATCACTTACCGAGAACAACGCAGACAGGATCTTGCCCATCATTCGTTCATTCGAACGTAAGGACCAATCAGCATGCCAAAACATTTTTAAGGATGGATATCAAGAGTTTATAAAAAGTATCACAGTAACATATCTATCGTTGTTGGTAAGGTACATTGTCATGGCTGCTATGTTTCCAATACTTGCAGCAGTGATTTGGTCGGCATGGATCTTTGCTGTGTTTGTGGTGATGGCATGCATGGTTTTGGCATTCATCGGCATATATTTACAGTTGACAGGCTGGCTCTATATTAATCATACACTGAAATCAGGCGATTTAAAGGATATTGAGGAGTCCTACATGTCGATTCAACAGTCGCACTTGTGGGTAGCAGAGTTGAATGGAAGAGTTGTTGGGATGGTGGGCCTCATTCACGAGGAAAACTTCGAACAAGGCGTCTATGAACTCAAGCGCATGTACGTTGTGCCGAATTGTAGGAAAAAGGGGATCGCTAGAAACCTGATTAATGAACTAATCTCACATGCCAAGACAAATAGGATAAAATTGGTTATTTTAAAAACAACGTCTACGGTGGTGCCAGCGATCCAATTGTACATGAAGAATGGTTTCACATTTTCCAGCGCTGGTTTAAATGGCAAGTTAACCGACGTGCCTGTCATCAACAAACGGAGTTTACCACAAGACATACACCTTAAGTTAGACATTTCCTCATTAGCTGCACCTTAAAATATTCCTTTTAGTATTACATGTCTTCGCACCTTTCCAGTTTAGGTGAACATTTCGTAATGTCATCCGCAAGCTTTGAGGCAGAACCTTTCTTTTCGTATCTGTTGTGGTAAAAAGTGCACGTTTTATGAGCCATAGCTGGATCCCTTTAAACGAGAAGCCTTTTATTCACTTATTTTAAAATAATCTAGATTAAGGAAAATACAGGAAAGCTTTTTGCAAAGCATAAAAAATATGCAGCCTAATATGTTGTGGCGCTTATGGTGGGTACCTGTTCGTGGAAAATGAAAATATCAGCTCCATACTCATCCCTACACCCACAAGGAAATTTGATTCAGAGTGCGCGCCTAAAGGGCGTCTATTTAATTTACTAATCATTTGTTAATACCACAGAACGAGTTGAATCACCAAGGAGCACATCATTTGACGACCAAAATGTGTTTCCAACGGTTTCCAAAACACCTGAATATATTTAATTGAAACAATATGTTAATACACCTCCAATACACTCCATTTAACGCTCTACCACTTGAGAAAGTGTATGAACAAGTTTTAAGGGAAAAAAGTTGCCTCGGGTTTGCAAAATCGTATCTGATTTGACCAATTTTTACAGACATAGTGTTTTCTCTGTTGCTTTTTTTCTTTCTTTCATCATTGAAGAAATGGGTTTCCAGCTTATCGAGTGGTTTTATGGCCAATCAGAGCGCGTATACTATTTGACTTATTTTATAAACACTGTTCTAAAAGGCCAAATGCACGTTTCAAATTTCACCTATGTTAGGAATCCTCAACTTTAATTGAGGGTACCAATGAAATTAACCGTAAACTGAAAATTAGCCGTTAGGTGTTAAAACAGACAAAGTTTAACGGTTGGTCTCAGAAAAAATTTAACCGTAAAAACAACTTCCTACCTACAATGCATCATTTTGAAAGTGAAATTATCTTGGGCTGTTATATGTCTTGTCACGTGGCCAATAGCGAATTACTCTTTATCATTCAAAAGCCGCTCGCTCTAGATTAATCCTGATTGCTTAACTCTTATGGTAAAAGCTAGGGTGTAAGTGTGTTTTAAAGCACGAAAGATAATCATCAGCTTTTAAGTAGCTGAAATGAACTTTTTATCATTTTTGTTAATTGTCACAGGAAGAAATTAATCGTTAGCCGTAAAATGACCATAATTTCAACCGCTGGCCCTAAAAGCCATCTCCCCATTAAGACCCTCTTAATTTAGCATTAATCAATAAAAGCATGCAGCACCTATTGTGCAACACAGTTTTGTACACTGAAAGGCAAAGGGTAACTAGCATACATTGTAGTGAGATACATATCCAAGTGGGACATTATGCAGATTTTGGGTTTTCACACTTTAATAGTGTACGAGTCGTGTCCAATAAAATTCACCAATACAGCATTACGTGAGGTACACGCCTATAGCGTTGTTTTAAATTCTCATCATTTCATCCCAGGTCAGTGTTAGCAACACCAAACTGCTTTTCCAAACAGGTATTAGGGATATCCTTTGTAACCATGTACACGAAATCAAACACCTTTTTTCCTTGAAGTTCTTCTCCAAGTTCCATGCCCTGCTTTGTTGAAGCATCCATGCAAACCAATGGGGCAGCTTTCTCTTGATGAAGAAGCTTCTCGAACAATGCCTTCAGTAGCCTCTGTGCGATTGCTTTAGAATTCGCAAACAGAGGTCCTATTAAGTAACCTTCCTCTTTGAGAAAAGTCGGTCGGGCAGAAATGTAACCCACAATGGAGCCTTCACGGTTGACGGCCACATATCCGAGGGTACCTGCTGCCCGAAGCAATCTCGATAAGAACGCGCTAGCCAAACATATGCCTATCGAAGCCAAACATATGCCTATCGTACAGGAATAAGTTCTCTAGTTCTACGTCCTCTATAGCTTTTACTTCTACAGAGATTTTCTTCACTATTCCTGGAAAACAAGCCATGGCTGTTGGGAGATGGAAGTCATAGCGCGCTGCATAAAAGTAACTTCGGAATCCGCCTCTTTCGTACATTTTCTCAAGGTGAAGGAAATCCGATGTTGCTGGTTGGCTTCACACTTGACACGGCGGCATTAAAGATCTTCAAGCCGTATCCCTTTCCTCTATATTCCTTATCCACCAGATAAGCTCCAATGAAAGCAAAGCTGTCGCCATATTTTGAGATTCTTACTGTGGCTATGGGTTTCCCGTTCAGTTCGCCAACAAAAGCTGCCGTAAGGTCACAAGCGAGAAAACACTCGGCGTCTTTTAAGCCCGGCCGCCAGCCTTCCTTCGCCATTGGTTCTATTGCAAACCTTTGCATTTCCTCCTCAGTCGTAATCGGGCGAATCTTGAACGATTTATGTTCATCTTTCTCTGGCTGAAGGTGAACGAGAGACTCCATTTTTCGTACTAAAGACAAGCAAGATGTCCTCTGGAAATGACTCTATTATGATGTTAACTAGGTCTATTTATAGAGCACATTAAAAGGTGGTAGATGAATGTATTTTTATCATTGTGATCATTATCAGTTTCATTATGCATTAGCGAGGAGGCTTGTGCCTCAAGTGAAAATCGCATGGTTTGGCGAAGTTTTTTGATAAAGCACCAAAAATTAAAAGACATGTTCGTTTCATTTTATTTCGTTCTTAACTTGTTTTTTGCCCTATTTTTCCAGCAAGACAAGCAAAGAATGCTTTATTTCTGCTCTATTTTTCAAGCAAGACAAGCAAAGAAAGCTCTTTTTTCCTGCTCAATTTTTCCAGAAAGACAAGCAAGAAAACTTACCTCACGACCTCACCAGGCAAAACGAATCGGTTAAACGAACTCCTACAAATTCATCGCGTAAAGCAAAGACACCGAAGAGCATGGTCAGTCTCTTCGCCTCACCAAATCTTCTGCCCACGATCTTTTTGGCTTTCTCTTGGATTTGCCACATGGTGACTTCTCTTTTTGACCTTTTCATGAAGACTCTTATTTCTCAATGTTTTCGGAAATGTGACGAATTCACTTCTTTGTGTGGCGCAATACGCGATGTAAACGAAATATGCAAACCGAAATCCCGAACGAAAGTTCGCGAAAAACGTCAACACTTTGCTGAACACGTTGCTGGATACTTCCGGATTACTACACCATTCACTATTCGGCACCAGCTACCATAAAACACCTTTTCAGCTGTATCTCGCATTTATTTTTAAGATTTCAGTTGTATTTCTCCTTTCGAAAAATTAAACTTAGATTTCTCTGACTTAAGAGCAAAGGAAGGGGGGGGGGGGG